TTCACATATTTGAAGAAATATTCACTAGTAACAATTTAGTGTCTTCTATTATAAGAACAAGCCATCTATATGATGAATATAGATATGCTCAATATTTCTTACCATAAGCTACTTTTGCGATTTAAATACTTGCACCACTTCTTGTAGTTCTTGAACAATTTTTTCATGACCTCATTTAGTGCACGATCGTCCAACTGAATAGGCAGTAGCTCAACATTGTCAACAACTAGTAATTGGAATTAGATGATTAACATTCAATGTTGGTTAACAAAAACCTTTGGTTGTTGGTCAGGCTTTGGAAATTGCCGTATATGGACATTCGCCAGTAACAAAATCAGATGCTCCCTTTGGTTTGCCACATTATCTTTCTGCAAATTTCAAAAGGATGAAATAGCACTTCAATTACAAGCACTAAATAGAAAATAATGAATTTGACTAGTTGTACCCACACACATTCCTCAAACAAGCTCCTTGAAGAAATTTGCAGACTAGACTAATTTTTCAGTTAGTTGGATTCTTAACCTGAAATCCAAACATCGCCTGAAGCCAATCAAGTAGGTCTTCATCAACCTTCTTCTGGTGGTTTTTGGGCCAGGGAAGGCCCCTTGTGTTTCGAAGAGCATGAACAGCAGCTTGAATCTGTCATGGATTGAGACAGAAAAAGTATTTAGCATCCTTTCCACAAAAACTTTAACAAGTATATCATAATCATCAAGGTGAGAGAGAGGCAGAACCTCAGGATAACGCATTATAGCCTGATTTGCACTATCTGGATCCAAGGGAAGAATATTATAAGGAACATATATCTTAGTTTTCTCCTCAACTTTATTATGAGCTTCCAATATCTACACAAACCACCAATTGATAATCAATGAAGCAAGAACCAAAGGAAAAATGAGATGTCATTTGCAATGAAAAATGAAATAAAGATATATAACGAAGGCAAAAACGAAAAGGAAGTAATTAGCATTTACCTCATGGTCAACCTCAATGGATTGTGTCAAATTAACAGCCCTTAAGACTTCAAATAGAACAGCAGCAGTTTGGTATGCCTTGGTAAGTTGAGCACTAGAAGAATCAAATATCAGGTCAAATCCATCACAGTATATATTCAAAACAAATGAAGCAATAACTCCCTTCTTCTATCTTTAAATAGATAAATGTTGCAACATATCAAAAGAATAGACACATACAACAAAGAAAAGCGACAGATATAAGCAGGCGTGACTCTTTCCAAAATCTTACCGGTCTGCTTTATCAGCAGCATTTTGAAGAGCTTGGATATACTTCTTGTAATAGTGCTGATAGAAGCTCTGCATTTCCCGGGCATCGCTCTTTTTGACCCTTCCCATTAACGTTGGGTCATTTTCCTAAGAGAATAAATCAAAAAATTTGATAAAGAACCGTCCCATCTTAACTTTTGTGAAGTAGATGTATTTTAGAAACATGTTAAATGCAAAAATATCATGACAAATACAAAATTATATATAAAGAAAGATTTAACGGATAAATTCTGCCATTGAAAATGGACAGATTGCCCAAAGCAGATGTATTTTAGAACATGTCAAATACAAAATTATCATGACATTATATTCGTATACGTAGAGCATAATATACAGCTGAAAAATGAAGTGCCAGTAAAAAGAAAGATGCTTCTCAAGATATAAGAAGTTATATAGATCATGTTGGAAGATGGTTAATTCACTAGTAGATGACGAGAGAGTATCTATACAACTCCCTTTTTGCCTTGCCTAACGAGTCATATCACACATCAGAAGCCAAAATAGCTTACTTCCATGAAAATCATGTGAGTCAATGGGAAAGCAAAATCTCAAAATATAATACACACACGCATGTACACATATCATGTGCACAATGAAAATATAACTCACTCACTCAGCCACTCACCATGTGGACCATGAAAATATCACACGAAACACAGAAATAAGCAACAACCAGAGATATTAATCACCATTACGAGAAAGATATAGAAGACACAAGAGGGATAATAAGCTTGACCTAGGCAATCATCTTGGTACTAAAATTCCGTAGAATAGCAACACATGCAAATATGTGAATACATGTGTGAAATTCGCACTGTGGCAAACTAGCCATCAGCTTTAAATTTTGATAATGGACAAGCTTTCCGATATGATACTTTGCAGACACAAAAAAGGAATATATAAGCAAGCATAATTAAACTTCAAACTGTAATGAGCCACTACTTCACTAGTAGCCATGTAGATCTAATAAAACTACATCGATTATCTCAAAGGTAGCTCTAGATACAATCACTAGTAGCCACTACTTCACTAGGTCGCTCAACAGGCAGGGGCATGTTAGAACTACTATAAAACTATAATCCTTGGCCCTCACTAAAACTCCAGAGTTTTGGTGTAATGGTTAGAGGGGCTAAATTTAAGATGAGACACATCAGCTGTAATTCAGAGTGGTTAGAGGGACTAAATTTAAGATGAGCCACACTATAGAGGAGTATGTTCCTCCATGGATGTAGGTGCAAACATGATTGTATCTAGAAGACTAGAACTACATTTGAGACTGGGAGGTCTGCACCTTCTAAAGTAACTAACTAAGATGATATCAATAATCCCTCAAGGTTAATCAATGGAAATTCAATAAATTACTTGTCAGTCAACAAGATTTAGTACTTTCCATATGAATCATTATAGAAAAAGATGGTGATACCATCATCATATATGACTAGGTGCAACAGCAAAATATCGTGATGTATCATCAAGTGCCAAACTGTTAGAAAACTTTCGAAATATTCAAGACACAATTTGAATAATATAAAATAATAAGGATGCTTTTTATGCTATGCTAGTTTACCCTTTCTAATCTTTGCAAAAGAGCAGTTTTAAACTGACGAACGCCACGGCCACTGGAAGTTGGATCCAATCGATGAGCTTTTTCAAAAGCATAGAAACGACCTACACGTACAGCAAATGAAGCACATTTATTATATATAACCCGGGATGCTCTTTTTTGCATTTTATATATATAACACCAAGCAGCCTAGCTGCCTAAGCTAATTGAAGAGCTCAGTAAAAAGAATAAGTGGAAACAGTAAGAAGAACACAGGACCACTGTTTTTAAAGCTCATTGTGAACCGAGTTTGTATGTGTGCAAAAGCCAAGAGTGTTCGAAGAATTGCATGAGCCTTTAAAGAAATTGAAGCCTCATGAGATTGGGTTCCAAAGAATGTTCAACGTGATCATAGGAGTAAAAGGTACAATATGCTGGTAATTGCTCTTTCTTTTTCTTTTTCTTTTTCATTTTTTGGTAGGGGGAGGGGTTGTAGAGGCATCTAAATGGGCTACTAGCATTCCCTTGTACCGGAGATTGATAATCTGCTATATAATATTTTAACACAAAAAAATAAAAGCATGACAAGAATAACTGTTGACATTAGTAATATTTGTAAGGGGTTATGTGTAAGTTGTGTAGGCCCTATATAAGCCCAAGAGATCTCCTAATAGGGTTAGGGTTTGTATTATCAACTTGGTATCAGAGCCATCCTCTAAACCCTAGCCCCCCCCCCCACCTTCACCTTCACCAAGGGGTTATGTGTAAGTTGTGTAGGCCCTATATAAGCCCAAGAGATCTCCTAATAGGGTTAGGGTTTGTATTATCAACTTGGTATCAGAGCCATCCTCTAAACCCTAGCCCCCCCCCCCACCTTCACCTTCACCA